AAATGGTATTAAAGTATTAAAATACTATATTAGTATATATAGTATAAACAGTATTTGAAATGGTAATATATTATATTGATATTTAACTATTAATATAGTAATATTAATATTTAACTATTTAAATGGTTTTTGGAATGGCTTATGAAAATGTGTAACTATTATCTCAACTCTAGCTGTGTGTAAAGTAGGATGCTTCTTTTCATTTTTTTTTTTGGTGTTAGGGTGAAGAGAAGTCTGGATAAACCCTCATAAAACACACGGCTAAAAAGATGGGGGCTGGATGAAAATCCTCTCGGCTTTAGTTTGCTGACGATGTGTTTACTGCGTTTCACTTTCCTTGCAGATTTTCGCTTACTTTCTTCTTTGGAGTTGGCAAAGTTCGTAAGTCAAAAATGCTACTGGAAAACTCCAGATGATAAATGCAATTTGTGTAAGTGTCAGAAAAGATGGCAGGGGATTGTAATGGTGCCCCCTGACTTTGGGCCACTTCTATTACTTCATTTAAATCGTACCAAAACATTAGACCAAAGTCATAAAACAGGGAGAAAACCATTTTTTTCGGGCCTGTGTCGTAGGCGTCCGGGAGGAAATAAAAATGTAAATGTAACCAAAGGCCAGCAAATGAAATTATAACAGGGAGCCGTGGGGTTTCTGTTTTATTTTTTTTAGGCTGGGAAATTCCCAGGGAGGCCCATTGAAAGTTTCCCCATCCAGAAACGAAAAACAAAAAAAATGGCCAACTAAATAAAATGCGAGGGGCCATAAAATTGAGTGCAGTTGTCGAAACAAGAGCAATAAGAAATCGCCAACGAAAATGAAAATGTTTGCCAAGCACGAAACAACAGCCCCCATCCAACATATTTAGAAAATTTTGACCGCAATGCTGGCAAATGTTGGGGCCATAAAGAGAAATCCTGCTGAACAGGAATCTAAATCATCAAGAAAACCAACGACAAAAAGTCGCAAATGAAGGCGAAAGTGAAATACATGCACATAATTTGAATAGAACCCTCCTCTTGATTTACCAATTCTCGACGAAGGTCGAACCAGAATTTGGTTTTACCAATTAGAAACTGCGGTCGACTGAGGTTGTGGTTATAATATGGGATTGGGAATTGAATTGATTCGGAGCTTAATCAACTAAATAAATGGGAAGAAAGTGGTACTAAATTTAATTTGGTAAAAGAAAAATAACAGAGAACTTTGATGAGGAAAAACCACTAATAGAAAGTTTAGATAAGGATTAGAAATATCTTTGAAGTAGCATACTATTTTTAAAACCATAACTTGAGGATTCTTTTTGATTAATGGGGATTGATTCGGGGCTTAATCAACTAAGTAAGTGGAGGGAAAGTGTCCCCACATTTAATTAAATAAAAAAAACGGAAACTTTGGTGAATAAAAGGTAAATGAAAGAAAGTCTTGATAAGTTTAAGAAATATCTTTGAAGTAACATATTTTCAAAAACCTTAGCTTAAGGATTGTGTTTGATTTCTGGGAATTTAATTTATTCGGGACTTAATCCACTGAAAAAATAGAGGGAAAGTGTTCCCTCATTTAATTTAATAAAAAAAAGCGGGAACTTTGGTGAGGAAAACAACAGTAAGAAAGTTTAGATAAGGATAAGAAATATCTTTGAAGTAGAATATTTTCAAAATCTTATTTAGAGGATTGTTTTTGATTTCTGGAAATTGAATTGATTCGGGGCTTAATCATCTAAAAAATGGAGGGAAAGTGTTCGCAAATTAATAACAAAAAACCGTGAACTTTGGTGAGGAAAAATTACTGAAAGAAAGTTTAGATAAGAAATAACTTTGAAGTATCAAATCTTATCTTGTGGATTGTTTTTGATTTATATTTTCTATGCCCCCCATAAGTTTGAGTTTATAAAAATGATATCTTTAAGGTTCGTAGTCTTGGTCTTTAATTGGCTTTAAGTCCGAAAAGAAAACTTCAATGTCTTGGGAAAACTCAAGGATGATCGTTGAGGACCCTCCGGCCAAAAGGGGAGACAAATAATAGCTGTAGATTAATAATGAAAATAATATTATTATTTTTGTTTGCTGCACATTTCTCTTGCTGGCACTCAAATGACCGCATCAGCTCGTCACCCTCGCCCCTGCAATTTTCCTCTATCATTTTCCCCCGCCCCTCGGACAATTTTCCCCTCTGAGGGACCATCGACGCATTTTGTTTGCTGTGGATGCCAAAAGGACTTGGCGGCGTCAAATTTATGGCTCTTGACTCTCGACTCTTGGCATTCCAGAACGCTCAGAATGCAGAATGCACCATTGTCAATAAGGTCCTTCCGCCCAGAACTTTCACCCCTTTCTCTCTCTCAATTTTTTTTCGCATTTTTTCGCTTTAAGAACGCTCTGCAAAATTTTGGCGGGCGAACGAAATAAATTTTGAATGCAGTCAGAAGTGCATAAAATCAAACACAATAGGCAAAAGAGCCGCAAATCATTTCGAAGGATATTCTAGTATCCTTGGACCCTTCTCTAATTAGCTTACTAGAAATGGATGGGAAAAGCGGGAAGGCAAATGGAACGGAAAACAAATCAATGACAGATGATGAGTGGTCGCGACGGGCATTCAAGGGTGGCACACTTAAAGAAAATATGGGCTAAACTGAAAAATTATAACACAAATATCCACTGTTGTGTTGCTACTCATTTCTACTATTGTGTATTTTTATATTGAATCACTCAAGTTTCAGCACTAATGTATTTTTACTAATGTTCCTTTATTTTTATTGTTCTATTTAAAATTTATACTTAAGTTTCAGCACTAATTTCTTTCAGACTTCAAAATATATTTATTACTTCAGCCACGTGGTATAATATATTAACTATATGTATTTAATCTCAAACATATTTAAAGGTTTTTGGGTATAAAAGCCTATTCACAATGTCATGGAAAAAAAAAACTTCGTCTCTTGTTAAAAATAGATAGCAATTTTTTACACCAATTTTAAAAAATTAATAACGTATTTACCTTGGGGACACATTTTAAACTTTTTAAAATTATTATATATTATTCAATTTTATTCAGAACTACACATTTTTTTCGAGTGCAATAAAAGGGTTACGAAGGGACCGATTCAAGCCTCCACCCATAAATATGTATTCGTATATTCCCCCGCTGGTTCGGTTTATGTGACAGTCTCAAAGTGCATTCAAAATAAAGTATGCAGGAAACCTTTTTGTTGCCTCCGGTTTTGAACTGGTTTTTGCTTGTTTTTTGCCAAGTTTGAATGTGTTGCAAATGGAAAATCGCAAAGGGAATACAAGCTTTTGTCAAAAAAAAAAAATTATTTCAAAAAATATAAACCCCGAAACCATAGTTTTAGGCTACTTTTTCTGATGTATTTATAAATAGCTACAAAAAAATGTAATCTGGTATCCATGTCGAATGAACAGTTTTTTAAAAAGCTATAAGCCACCGTATTATGTTCACAGGAAAATAGCTTAAAAGAAGTTTAAAAAAAGTGAACTAAATAATCTTCAGTTGCCATGAAGATACATAGCAATATAGAAAAAAAGTATATGTTGAAATATTCACTTATATTCTATGAAAAATCATAGTCCACTTAAAAAACGTTGTGCATTTAATTTGTGTTTCTTAATTTAAAATTCTGTGATTTATTTCTGATTTTGCGTAGATAACAATGAAATATTGTAGCTACATTAAAAATCCAAAAAGTCCGTACAGTTGAAAAAATTGCAGACTTTCTTACAAATTGATACTCCCAGTTATGCTTTTGATGACTGCACTATTGGACCATTTTTATAAACTATTTAAAGCAGTCGAACTAAACATTTCAACACTTTTAATGTAACAATTAAATAAATTCTGATTTTTTATATTTTTTTTTTAAATTTGTAAATTTAATTTTTAAATATTCCCTGCTCACCTTTGGCAGTTTTGATTTTTAAACTTTCACAACAAGTTTAGTTTGCAAGTATTCCTCACTCGCTTGTTTTTTCTTAGGCTTTTCACATACGAAACACTCTCAAACAAAAATAAACAATTCGAAAATATCCACCAACCGTTAACCGATACTCGGCGATTTCGAAAACTGAACCGTTTCGCTGTTGACCCGCTAAGTTCGGCCTGTGTCCGCTGGCAAGCGAACGCTTCGAATGCTGAACTGCTACTTGTTGGCGTTCCGTCGTCCTCCGAAAACGAAGCGGAGATGCTAGGGCAATGCAAAAAAACGTAAAGGAAAAAAGGAAAACAACACAGATACGCACGCACACAGGCACGAGCACTTTTCCGCCCCGCCCGCCCCCTGGGAAAGTTCATTTTTCCGATTCATTTTCTACGAATTCGCTGCGCTGCCAATTCGTCTGTTGGGTATTCTCGAGCTTGGAGCTTTTCCAGTGGCTTTTCCGGCCGAGCTTGGCGCTCGCTGCAAAGGAAAAGCCGGCTATAACGCACCAAAATGAAAGCGATTCGGAGAAAGAGAGAGCTAAGCTTTCACTTTGGCGCCCATTTTGGAATTCGGCAAGGATTTACTCATAAAAAATCCTTTGTTCATTTTTATCTTTGTTTTCAAAAACTATAAAGATTTTCAAAAATGATTAAATGATGTCCACTCTCAGGGAAAAACACCGTGCTAAAATCAAGTACAAACAGCCTTGATTTAAGAACGATTTCATGCTTACCATTTAAGAACGTTCGTGCTGAAAAACTTCCCACATTGAGCACATTTTGGATCTAAATATCTAATAATTCCCAACTGTTTATTTTGAAAGTGCTCGGTATATAAAGCGCATAAATTACAAAACCCAACTTAAATTTACAACATATGTATATTGATTTAAGAATTATTCGTTCTTAAATAATGCCTGCAACTTTCTTACTTTATTATTTTCATGCTTGGCAAAGTTTTGACAGCGAAAGTGCTTGATTTAAGCAAGAAATACTTTATTTTTTTTCTGAATGCATCTAAAATGCAAGAAAAAATGCAATCTTGTACTCCCTGTTACCCCAATTTTTATTATACAAAATATACAAATCATAAACGAAGCAGTGTAAAAATTAAACCGATTTTCATTTCTTCTTTCCAGCCGCTGCATTCCTATGAATTTCGTCGATCTGTGCGGGCATCTTTTCCAGCTCCTCCATCATGGTCAATTGTCTTTCCCTAACATTTAGAAACAAGCGCTGAAAATGCCTTGTCAACGGATTATAAATCGTGGTTCTAGCAATATCATCGGCATTGATATGGAAATCCATCTTGCCAGGACTTGGTTTTGTTGGCATAGATTTCTCAGACGTATCACATTTATTTTCCTGTATGTCGCTATCAGTTGTTTTAGGAATAGTTTTTTTAACAGATGGTATTTCCAATGGCTTCGACTCCGCTTTCCTAGCCATAGATTTGATTCTCTCCAGAGCCTCTTGCTCTTTAATCTGCATTAGAACGATAGCTTTGATTTCTTCGCCACTCCTCAGATAAGTCATTGGCTTGGAGCTCGTAGTGCTGGGTTTCCCCCGAACTTGTAAGTCTTCACGATTCTTTTGGTTACCGTTCTCTAAAGTATTCTGCGGAGTTGGGAATGGAGGTATATTTTTTGGAGTCTTTAAAGATTCATAAGATTCATAATGCTTTAAGTCTTCGCGCTTATTAAAATTCTGCGGAGTTGGGACTGTAGGTTTATTTTTTGAAGCCCTTAAAGAATTGTCGCTTTCATAATGCCTTAAGACTTCGCGCTTATTATAATTATGCGGAGTTGGGACTGGTGGTTTATATGTTAGAGTCCTTGAAGATTTTGCGCTTTCATAATGCTGTGATTCTTCTTGCTTATTAATATAACGCGAAGTTGGAGCTGGAGACTGATTCGTTGGAGTTCTTGGAGATTGGGCTCCTTCATAATACCTTAAGTCTTCGTGCCTATAAAAATGATGCGGAGTTGGGGCTGGAGGTGTCCTATTTTGAGAGTCTGATAACATTCTTCGGGACATGGTCTTACAAATCTCACACTCTATTTCTTCCTCATCTTCATTTTCTGAGTCTTGAAGTCGAAGCTCGGGAATAAAATCCCATTCGGTATTTTTGGAACTTTTTTGTTTCACGTCCTTGGGATTTGATTCCATATGAGGACTCTACAGGTTAATTTTTAATACATGGAATTAGCTAGTGGTATGTGATAGTGGGAGAAAAAAGAACTAAAGAATTCGTGTTTTTCTAACAATTTTTAAACGTCATTTGATTCCTTACGAGGACTCTACAGGTTGAATTGTAATACAACAGGTTAACTACTCGTAAGTGAAAGTTAAATAAAAAAGAATTAAAGGATTCGCGTATTTCTAACATTTTTTAACCGTCATTTGATTCCTTACGAGGACTTTACAGGTTAATTTTGAATACAAAGGATTTACTAGTGGTGACAGTAAAATAACAAGAAACTAAAGAATTCGCGTTTTTCTAACATTTTTTAAACGACATTTGAAGAAAAATAAAATAGTTAAACTTTATAATTACCCGATTTTGATGAGCCTGTAGATCGAAAACGCGGTCCGGGTTCCACAAAGGTGAGTCCAGTCCAAGAGGGATTCGCTGATCGAGAGTAAACGAGGCGTTAGGATCTTGACACTGGCAAAAGCGGTCCTCGTTATGGTTATCTTGTCGTGTGTAAATTGGCTCAGTCCGGGAAGAAAATAGGCGAATGTTTTCTAGACAATTCTTCTCCCGACGCAAGCGACTTGTTTCATAGGCGTAAAGCGGGAATTGCTCATATAGCTCATTGCGCTGCAAATCATAGATAAACTATTATGTATTATTCCCATTGCAGAGACTAACCTTTAAATATGGGGAGCAACTGCAAGTGCACCTTTCCGGGCTCTGGAAACTTTTATCGTTCTTAAACATTTTTCAAGCAATAACTGGAATCGAGTTTATTTGAATAGTTTTCTTATGACTTCTGTTCACGACAGCACTTTTTAAAGTAATGTTTTCATTTGACATTAGTATCCAGTATCACTTAACAAGAACATCCAAAAAGGCAAAGGGATTATGAATTTGAAAACAAATAAAACAGGAAAGTTAGCCACCTTCAGCAAGCCGAAGCTTAAGCCATGTCAAGAAAATAAAATCACTTCAAGAAAAATTTATTTTTTGACAAATTTTGTATATTGCATATTTTGTAAGGATGTACATCATGTTTTTTGGCGAAAAAATGGCAAAAATGAAAAATTCCTAGGTTTGAATGTCAATGCATTGGAAATTAAACAACGATCTCAACGAGGTTTTGCGTTCTTGATTCCGATTATTTTTTGCATAATGGCAGCCAAAACACTGATTTTTAAGGGCGGAAAAGTAAGTAATAAACAATTTCACTGTACTATTTACGATATAATATTTTAGTTCCAAATTTTAAATAAATAAAAAAATAGGTCGTGGTGGCTGGGTGAACAACTTCTCAGTTAGAATCAGTATTCGCATTAGTATTCAATTGTCGTGTAAGGGGAACAAAATTTTAGTTTAAAAAAAAATAAAATAAATAAAAAGAATGGAAGGAAAAAAGAGCGGAATGGCAACATGTGAACCAGCTTACAAGTTCCAGAAAGCAGCGAGCATTACAATCAATGGCTATCTCAACTTTTTGAACGAATACAAAAAGCAATTCTTCGGAATTTCCCCACAGAACGTGATACGTTTCGGAGCCAGAGAATGGATCAAGTTGAGCCTCCAAGAAAAGGAACGGTTTAAAAACATGGTAAGTAAGAAATATCTGAGGTATGATAAATATATAGTAATTATCAACAAACGTGTGTTAGAAACAACCTGTGGCACCTCAAGAGTTTCAGAGTAGGTCCCATGGGGACAGCCCAGATAAGTCTGAATGGTTGAAATGTAGTCCAGTTCGCTCTCCGTATTCACGTGAAAGGGAGTCCAGGAACAAAAAGAAAAGGAAGCCTTCCAAATCAATCAAGGACCAAATCAAGAAGAAAGCCGGACCTCCTTCTATTCTCCCAAAGAAACGCGGCTTTATACCCTTCCTGCGCAGGTTCCAAAGGATGAACAAAGACTTGGCGCCCAACGATCTGTTGAAAAAGGCAGCTCGTATTTGGTGCCGTCTGCATAAAAGCCATCGCAAACCACTTGAGAGGCCACTTTGGTAAAGTTATTTCAATTTAAAGCTTTACTCAAGCAATAATATCTACCATTCTTTTTTAGAACTATGAGAACTGGATAGGAAACACTTTTAAGCTTTAGCCGTAATTCCAAGGAGCCCGAGAGTTCATACAATTTTAAAATAAAAAGAAAGCACAAAAATGAAGCGATTTAAATTAGTACTTTTTAGGGTTCCCGAGCACTAACTTAATATTTCATTTTGATCTTCATTTGCATTATGGCAGCCAAAACACTAATTATTTCTTGCGAAAATGGGATTCAAACTTTAGTCAAAAATGGTCCTTATTTTTCGGTTTTTCAGTTGTAGTTTAGCCAAATAAAGGCGTACAGCTAAAAGACCGACTATTTTGAGCAGCTTGCTACAAATACTATCGATCCCCATCACTTTAAGGAACATTTATTTTTTGACCCATTTTCGCATTTTTTATAAGGGGGTGCATCAGTTATTTTTGAGATTCGGATTTTGGTCAAAAATACTCATTTTTTAGTGGTTTTCCAATCGTAGTTTAGCCAAATCAAGGCGTACAGCTAAAAGACCGACTGTTTTGAACAGCTGGCTACAAATACTATCGATCCCCATCACTTTAAGGAACATTTATTTTTTGACCCATTTTCGCATTTTTTATAAGGGGGTGCATCAGTTATTTTTGAGATTCGGATTTTGGTCAAAAATACTCATTTTTTAGTGGTTTTCCAATCGTAGTTTAGCCAAATCAAGGCGTACAGCTAAAAGACCGACTGTTTTGAACAGCTGGCTACAAATACTATCGATCCCCATCACTTTAAGGAACATTTATTTTTTGACCCATTTTCGCATTTTTTATAAGGGGGTGCATCAGTTATTTTTGAGATTCGGATTTTGGTCAAAAATACTCATTTTTTAGTGGTTTTCCAATCGTAGTTTAGCCAAATCAAGGCGTACAGCTAAAAGACCGACTGTTTTGAACAGCTGGCTACAAATACTATCGATCCCCATCACTTTAAGGAACATTTATTTTTTGACCCATTTTCGCATTTTTTATAAGGGGGTGCATCAGTTATTTTTGAGATTCGGATTTTGGTCAAAAATACTCATTTTTTAGTGGTTTTCCAATCGTAGTTTAGCCAAATCAAGGCGTACAGCTAAAAGACCGACTGTTTTGAACAGCTGGCTACAAATACTATCGATCCCCATCACTTTAAGGAACATTTATTTTTTGACCCATTTTCGCATTTTTTATAAGGGGGTGCATCAGTTATTTTTGAGATTCGGATTTTGGTCAAAAATACTCATTTTTTAGTGGTTTTCCAATCGTAGTTTAGCCAAATCAAGGCGTACAGCTAAAAGACCGACTGTTTTGAACAGCTGGCTACAAATACTATCGATCCCCATCACTTTAAGGAACATTTATTTTTTGACCCATTTTCGCATTTTTTATAAGGGGGTGCATCAGTTATTTTTGAGATTCGGATTTTGGTCAAAAATACTCATTTTTTAGTGGTTTTCCAATCGTAGTTTAGCCAAATCAAGGCGTACAGCTAAAAGACCGACTGTTTTGAACAGCTGGCTACAAATACTATCGATCCCCATCACTTTAAGGAACATTTATTTTTTGACCCATTTTCGCATTTTTTATAAGGGGGTGCATCAGTTATTTTTGAGATTCGGATTTTGGTCAAAAATACTCATTTTTTAGTGGTTTTCCAATCGTAGTTTAGCCAAATCAAGGCGTACAGCTAAAAGACCGACTGTTTTGAACAGCTTGCTACAAATGCTATCGATCCCCATCACTTTAAGGAACATTTATTTTTTGACCCAATTTCGCTTTTTTTATAAGGGGGTGCATCAGTTATTTTTGAGATTCGGATTTTGGTCAAAAATACTCATTTTTTAGTGGTTTTCCAATCGTAGTTTAGCCAAATCAAGGCGTACAGCTAAAAGACCGACTGTTTTGAACAGCTTGCTACAAATGCTATCGATCCCCATCACTTTAAGGAACATTTATTTTTTGACCCAATTTCGCTTTTTTTATAAGGGGGTGCATCAGTTATTTTTGAGATTCGGATTTTGGTCAAAAATACTCATTTTTTAGTGGTTTTCCAATCGTAGTTTAGCCAAATCAAGGCGTACAGCTAAAAGACCGACTGTTTTGAACAGCTTGCTACAAATGCTATCGATCCCCATCACTTTAAGTACCTTTTTGTTTTTGACCCAGTTTCGCATTTTTTATAAGGGGGTACATCGGTTTTGTTTGGGATTCATATTTTGGTCAAAAATATTCATTTTTTCGTGGTTTTTTAGTCGTAGCTTAGCCAAATCAAGGCGTACAGCTAAAAGAATGACTGTTTTGAGCAGCTTACTACAAATGCTATCGAAATTAAACAACGAGCTCAACGAGTTATTACATTCCTGATTCCGATCATTTTTTGCATAGTGGCAGCCAAAACATTGATTTTTAAGGGCGGAAAAGTAAGTTATAAACATTTTCACTGTACTCTTTAAGGTATGAGATTTGACTTCCAAATTGTAAATAAATAAAAAAATATCATGGTAGCTGGGAGAACAGCTTCTCAATCAGAATCAGTATACGTATTAGTATTCAATTGAAAAGTGTCGTGTAAGGAGAACAAAATTTTAGTTTTACAAAAAAAAAAAAAAATAGAAACGGAAAAAAGAGCGGAATGGCAACATGTAAACCAATTCACAAGTTCCAGAGAGAAGCGAATATTACAATCAATGGCTACCTCAACTTCCTAAACGATTACAAAAAAAGATTTTGCGGAATTTCCCCACAGAACGTGATTCGTTTCGGAGCTAGAGAATGGAACAACTTGCCCCTCCAAGAAAAGGATCGTTTCAAAAACATACTAAGTAAGAAATATCTTAATTATGAAAAATAGTTAGTACTTATTAACATACAAAAAACGATTTTGCGGAATTTCCCCACAGGACTTGATACGTTTTGGAGCTAGACTCTAACACACGTATTTTAATAATTGCTACATATTTTCCATAATTAAGATATTTTTCACATACCATATTCTTAAAGCGTTCCTTTTGCTGAAGGGTCAACTTTTTCCATTCTCTAGCAACTAGAGAATGGAAAAAGTTGACTTTTCAGGTGAAGGAACGCTTTAACAATATGGTAAGTGAGAAATATCTTAATTATGGAAAATATGTAGCAATTATTAACATAGCTAGCTGCTAGAGAATGGAACAAGTTGACCCTCCAGGAAAAGGAACACTTCAAAAATATGGTAAGTAAGAAATATCTTAATTATGGAAAATATGTAGCAATTATTAACATACGTGTGTTAGAAGCAATCTCAAGTGTTTGGGAGTAAGTCCCATGGGGACAGCCCCGATAAATCGGAGCCGGAGAAACGTAGTTCAGTTCGCTCTTCGTATTCCCGTGAGATGGAGTCTATGAAAATAAAGGAAAGGAAGCCATCCAAGTCAATCAGAAGCCTGGTCAAGAAACGCGGGCCAACTTCTCTGGGCTCCTCGGGTGGATTTATATCGTTTATGCGCAGGTTTAAAAGGATGAACAAAGACTTGGCGCCCAACGATCTGCATAAATGTCATCGCAAACCAATTGAGAGGACACTTTGGTAAAGTTATCTCAATTTAAAGCTTTACACAAGAAATAATATCAACCTTTTCTTTTTAGAATTGGGAACTGGATTGAAAACACTTCTACATTTTAGTGCAGTTAATATTTGGCTAATTCCAGGAACACTTAAAATAAAAAAATAAAAATTCAAGCGATTTTAATTTTGATAATGAGCTTTACTTTTAGTGTTCCTGATATCTATGTTGTGTATTATAAAGCATGTGAGTTAAGTGGGGTTTGAGGAAGTCCATTCAACCCTTGATTTCTGGAGCGAATTCTGAGAAAATATTTTATTGCAATTTTTTAGAAAGTTTTTCAATAATATCACTGTGAAATAGATTTGTATTGACTCAGAAACAGTTTTTTTCAATTCAGATTAAATTTTTTTTGCCATTATACACTAATTGATAGTTGTTTTCCTATTAATAAAGCGTATGGATATAAAAAAATTAATTTTTTTTTAAATTCTCTCCTTTTTTTAAGAACCCCCGAAAACATTCCAACTTAAAAACATTTTATTCTTTTTTATTTTGCATACACACAAAAATGTCTTTATTGTTTCGTTTTGTTCGTTTTTTAGCTTGCTACAAATGCTATCGATCCCCATCACTTTAAGGAACATTTATTTTTTGACCCATTTTCGCATTTTTTATAGGGGGGTGCATCAGTTATTTTTGGGAATCAGATTTTGGTCAAAAAATCTCATTTTTTCGTGGTTTTTCAGTCGTAGTTTAGCCAAATCAAGGCGTAAAGCTAAAAGACCGACTGTTTTGAGCAGCTGTCTACAAATGCTATCGATCCCTATCACTTTGAAGAATATTTATTTTTTGACCCATTTTCGCATTTTTTATAAGGTGGTGTACATCAGTATTTTTTGGAATTCCGATTTTGGTCATAAATACTCATTTTTTAGTGGTTTTTCAGTCGTAGTTTAGCCATATCAAGGCGTACAGCTAAAAGACTTACTGTTTTGAGCAGCTTGCTACAAGTGCTATCGATTCCCATCACTTTAAGGAACATTTATTTTTTGACCCATTTTCGCATTTTTCATCTTATTTTGCGCATAATGGCAAAAATGAAAAATTTCTAGGTTTGAATGCCAATGGATTGGAAATTAAACAACGAACTCAACGAGGTATGACTTTCCTCATTCTGACCTTTATTTGCATTATGGCAGCCAAAAAACTGCCATTTTAAGGCAGAAAAAAGGGATTGGAATATTCATATGCACTTTATTGGGTTCGAAACGTCTCCTCCACCGCGCTGATAACTTCTCACTAAATTTAAAATACCCTCCGAAAGTGCTTAAAACATGTAAAAATTATTAGTTACTATGTTTCCCATTCGTGCCAGTGAAATAACCATATATGATTTGTTGTTGTTGTATTTTTTAATTAATTCATAATAAAAGTTTCTATTTTTCGGTTGGTTTTTTTTGTTTTCGACGCTTAGCTAATATATTTATTATATATTATTTATATGTATATCTACAATAGGTATTAGCATTATCATTATTAAACTGTTGTTTGCTTTCTTTTTGTTTCGAATCTGCATAATTTGCAGATCCATTTCATTTGTTTGTTGGTTTGTTTTTAGACAAGTTAAGATTTAAAAAAAACTCAAAAGTTCGCTTATGTACGTGTTAGTTCTTCTTTCCCGCGCTCCTCACTCGTTTCCGCTTTCGCTTCGCTTAAATAACAAAAAAATTGTCGCTTCTGCCAAATAAATTATATATGCATATATAATAATAAAAAAATATATGGTCATATACTTGGTAAGACGTAAATGTAGGGCATACAAAATAATTAAGCTAAAACAAATCTTGCTGCAATTTCAATCGGAGGTTAAAATAATTAGGTGTGTATAAAATAATAAAATTGCAATTTTGGGTGTGGCCGGTAAGTAACTACAAATTAGAATCGTACAAATACCAATTAGCAGGATCGTAAGCCAATAATCGAACGTATTAAACAAACACTTGCGATCGCACAATCAAAATAAATATTAAACGGCGTTGGGTCGTAGGATGCCCAACCTATATATATACAATATATATATATATATATAAAATTGTCGATTTCCTCGTCCCGAGAAGCGTGCTTTCTGCTCGCCTTGACTCGCATTTTGGTTGTCATCGTAATCATTTTATCATCATGATTCTCATACATAATTATGTTCGGTTGTTGTAAATATACAATCTTTCATATACTCTATTTATATATATTTATTTATATATAATTTGTATATAGTTTAATTAGCTTTTTATTGCAGTTGAGTATACTATGTTGACTTGTTTTTTTTGTTGGTGTTGTTGCTGGTGTTGTTGATCCTATTTTGTTTGTTTATTTTCTTTTGTTTTTGTTTTTCTTTTTACTTGTTTTTGTTTCTTTTCATCCGTTTCGATTCGTTACGAGGCTTTATCCATATTGCTTCTTGATCTTGATAGGTTTTTCTCGGCTCTATTCTCCATTTGTAGTTATCTTGAGTGGTGTATTTCTGTGTTTGTGGCTATTTCCGTGGCTTTTCCTCCGCCTTGCTTCATGCTTATTTAAGTTTACTTTTGTTTTTAATTTACGCTTTGCTAATTATAAATTATGTTTTAGTTTTTTGTGTTTTTCTTGTTGGAGTTCTTGTTGCAGCTGTTGGTTGATTTATCCTGATTTGTCTTGTGCCAAGTTCATTTAGTCCGCCCAAGCAGTCATATGCTGCCACCATATAGTCGCGTTTGGGGACTGGAACTCGATCCGAACACAAGTGAATCGCGGGCTGGTGGTGGTGGTGGTGGTGGTGGGGAGTGATGCGTCGCCCAGAGGAGAGAAGTTGGAGGATGGAGCAGGATGCACGCGGTTTCTCAGTCATTGTCGTGGGCCCCGCCAGTCGTCGGTCGTCATCATTCAATCCCTTCCCAGATGCCCATCTAATGATGAGGGTTAAGTCCGGGCGTGCGAAACGAGGACAAAGGCTAGCTGCTGGCGGCGGCCACAATGGACCAATTATCATCGCAATCATCATCAGCTGCGCCAGAAGAAGCTCTTTTTGAGCCTGACAGACAGCTTGCGATGTACGCGCAGCCTAACCTGCTCCTGATCCTAAGTATCGTCCGACATGAACGCGTTCTGAGTCTTCGACTCCTCAATACGGCGGATCTGTTGGCGCAAATACATGATTCTGCGGGAAGGAATAAAACGAATAAGAAACATAACTCCCTTTGAGTTGGCACAGCTTAAACTCACTTTTGTTCCTGCAGGGTGGCATTGATCTCGGTGCTGCGAACCAGGCTGCGGGCGCACTTCAGTTCTGCGCATATCCTCGTGCAGGTGATGTCGCCAAACAGGTGCGTATCCTCACAGCACTTCTGCGCCTTCGAGAAATAACAACAAGATATTTACAATCAGTTCGAGTCCTCAGTTATAGGCCAATGTTAGTGAGTTATACGCAGGCAAATCCTACCTCACAGCTTACCTGACGCTCCAGCACCTCCGCCTGCCAGTTGGTCACATGCGCAATCAGGTCGGCGCGGAAGTATTTGGCCAGCTTGGGCGATATCTCGGGACCGCGCAGGTTTGCCGCCTGCCCCGAGGAGCCCACGCAGCTCTGCAGCGAGCTCAGCGTGGCCGACGAGGTGCCATCCACTGGAAGAACATTAATTAATATCCAGTTGGTGTGCTCAAGTTGGGAGTACCCCATTAAGACTTACATTTACGCTGCTGCTGCGCCTGTTGCGCCGCCTGCAGCTGAAGACTGGCCGCTGCCGCGGCTGCCGCTGCGGCGGCCAACTGTTGCTGTTCCAGCGCTGAGCCGCTCAAGTCCAGTTCCTGTGTGGGCGTGGGCGGGCCCTCGCCACCCGCCGCCGCCCCACTGTTGCTGCCCATCGAGGTGATCACACTGATTCCGCTGACGGCGCCCAGGCCGGGCACGATGCTTTGGCTGCTATTCGCTCCACTGGAGCCGGAGGAGGCATTGCCGCCGGGCGTGGCCGGTGAGGCGTTCGCCACCAGCACTCCGCCATCGGAGGTCGTCTTGAGGCCGAAGGGTGGATTGCAGGTGTACGCATTGCTTACATTATTCGTGTGGCCCACAATCGTCGGGATGGGACTCTTCGTGTAGCTCAACGACGGCGAGAGGCTGTGGTGCGGATGTGGCATGTACAGCGGCGAGTTCACACTGTTGTCCCTGTACATTTTTCATCAATTAATACAATTCTCTTATAAAAATCGATAAAAATTTAATTTACTTACCGTAAGCTGCCGGAGATGACCGAATTGAAGGCATGATTGGCCACATCTGCCGCCGAACCGACCGAGTTGACGCTGTGATGTGATTGCACATCGAGGACGCCCAGGCCCAGGTGCATTTTCTGGCGCATTAGCATCGCCTGATCCTTGCCCTTGGCACCCGGTGGCAGTGGAGCATTCGAGTTCAGATGGTGCTGGTGCGGATCCTGACTCCCCAGTGTGGGCACAGTCGTCTGCAATGCGAAAGAATATGGTGACAACAATCTAGAGGTGCTTTGACCTAAGGCAAACTTACACCGGAAGTGGAGCCAATGTGGCCGACAACAGAGTTCCTGCTGCTGGCATTGTTGCTGCTGCCGCCGGCACTGTTGCTGCTGTTGCTGTTAACCATTCCCGACGACGAAAGTCCGCTGGTGGGCAGCATTGTGGCGCCCGTCACTGGGCCACCACCCGCTCCGCTACCGTAGTGCAGACCCGCCGCCGCTCCAGCGCCTGTCGCTCCAGAAGCGGAGGAGTTGGCATTCGGGTGCGAGGCCAAACGGGGCAGGGCGTTACTCATGGGCTGATCGTTGCTGCCACCGCCGCCACCGCCGCCACCACCGGGACCTCCTCCACCAGGTCCGCCGCCATGTGTTGTGGGCGTGCCGCTCAGCGAGTAACTGGCCTCCGAGGTGGGCGTAGAGTCGCCGCTTATGTCCATATCAGCATTGTCGTTGTGTCGACCTGTGGGAATGATTTATGGATAAGGCATTAGTTACTTTCTGGAGTCTGGATGCCTTTATAATCTTTAAAAGCTCCAAGGATAAAGACTTACCATCCAAACGCCTTCGATGGCTGGGCGGACCGCCATCGTTGTCGTAATTCCATCTCAGTCGTGAATTGTCCCGCGAAGAATTGGAATGTTTGTATGCTACAAAACGTAAATAAAGTTAAAACATTGTAATGTATTTTAATTTCATGGTTTATACTTACTCGATCTGGAGAAACGATCATCGCGGTCGCGATCGCGATCCTTGTCGCGATAGTCCTTCTCACGATGCTGATCGCGCGGCAAATTTCTGAAAACATATAACGTGTTAATAGGGTTTTTGATGGTGAATACTTTAAAAAGACCATCTGGCTGTTCTCTTTAAAGATTCTTATTGAGGTTTGTGTTTACCTTTCTCTGTCCACCCATTCCTTTGGTTTCTCCCATTGAGAGATTTCCGTCTTGCAGTTGTAGTAATACATTTTGCCTGAAATCAAACCAAAATTATTGGTCAAAAGCTGGAGAGGAATAATCTCTGGTGTAGATGGACTCACCCGATGAGCTGACATGCTCGCTCCAGTCGCCATAACGCGCCGTCCGCTCGCCACGATCGTTGCGTTCGCGTTTGTCTGGCAAAAAACACAGCAAATAAGCTCAGTTAAGTGAGAAAATTGTAAGAAACAAAGCGACCTGGACTTACCTGCATACTTGTCCTTCTTGTACATGTCCCTGTCGCGATCGGATCCGCGATCCCGCTTGTCTCGCAGATCGCGGAGGTCCCGATCCCTCTCCCGATCGCGATCATCGGACCCCGAGCGTTTGTCGTTCTCCCGCGAGGAGCACAGCTTGCCACTGGTGTTGCCTCCGCCACCGCCTCCGCCTCCTCCGCCGCCACCTCCTCCGCCACCGCCACGCCGATCCCTGTCATGGTTGGTGCGGTACGACGACTCCGAGTCGCGATCGTTGCCACGCCGATCACGTTTGTCTAGGGGAGGGAGAGAATAATATTTTAGATACAAGACCTAGCCGACTGTAGCTCTCTCTGAACTCACCTGAATATTTGTCCTTCTTGTAGACATCCCGATCTCGGTCCCGCATCTTCTGTATGAAGCTGTATCGCTCGCCGCTGCCGCCACGCCCATTGCCACCTCCTCCGCCGCCGCCGCCCCTATGATCGCTGCGATCGCGTAGATCGTGCGAACGGGACGAGGGCGAATCAATGTCCGGCGATTGGGAGCGGTAGCTGTTGCCATTGTTCAATGGTCCGCCACCATTGCCGCTGCCGCCCCCGCCGCCGCCTCCTCCAGCGGATCCGCCGCCTCCTCCACCGCCAGCGCCTGGCGACAGGTCGCGATCGCGATAATTGGAGGAACGATCGCGTTCGTAGTCGCGCTTTGAACTGCTGTACTTTGAGCTCTGCACGGGTAAATAGAAGCGCACACAGTGTTTAGTCGATTTATATTCCCAAAATTAATTGCACAGTGCTACAAAATACAATTTTTGTCAAGTACTTTTCAAGAAATTCCAGTGGGGATTGAAGATGTGGTCGAGAAGTTGTCAGTTATAAGACAAAACTCTCTCTAATTGTTAACAAATAATGATTAGGGCGTATAACAAATATTATAACTAACGTTATGCATTTAAAGCAACAAGTTATTGTTAAATATATATGAAAACTTCAGAATAAATACAATATATTTAAGTAACCTTTCGACCACACTTTAAATCTCCACTGACTCTCTCTTGAATGATACGGATTCACTGCAATGTTCAGTGTTACATCCTTTGTAGCGGTTGATTTAAGTCTCGGTTAAGTTATAACTTGTCAAGTTATTTTATTTTTTGGGGGCAGGGTTGTTAGTTGAACTAAATCTACTCAATAGTGAAATCATAAGTAAATGCATAAATGCCAGCTACTATTGCCAATGTTCTCGCTTGTGATTATTGCCAATGCAAACGAACATAAACGAAATGAGAGTTAAGTGAAATGAAATTCCGATGGTTTCGAAAATCAAACGTGTTATCGACAAGAATTTTGAAATATGTCAAGTATTTGGTTTGGTTTTTCGTCTTTTCAAGACTCGAAATTATAATATCCGAAATTAGTGTGAGTTTTTGTTCAATTTTTCAGAGAAATAATATTATAAATGAAAAATGAGTATGAACCTTGTTTTTGGTTATTATTTATTCATAATTTTTTGCATTATGTTAATACTATGTTTGGTAAATTAAATTTAAATCATAGTAGTTGTCGTTCTTAAATTATAATACTTGTTTATTTTTTTTGATTATTATAAATTATAATTCTTGTTTATTTTATCTGATTATTATAAAGTCAATTATGATTCTTCCATTTTGTAATATTTCAGTTCATAAATTCACTTTTAATCCTGGGTTGATCTTAAATTTTATAATAATCCATAAATAGTTTCGATATAATTTAGTGATTTCAGGTATGACTTTTTCGTTTAATATTGTTGTAAAATAATAAATAGTTCTGGTCATTTGTAATGTTCGTTTTTTAATTCAAAATATTTAAATCATAATTTTCAGCGGCGTTTTGTGTGTTGTTTTAGACAGATTTTTGTTTATAAAATACACATTTGAATAAACGATTTACTGCGGCTCCATTTTCATAGGGTTTTCTTGGGGGTTTTATTCATTTATTACTTGAACTTGTATTTATTTATTTTACATTAATATTGATTTTTTTCATTGCTTTCCAGATTATTTGCTTTTGTTTGAAGCGTTTGCGATGGGTTTTAATGGTTTTTGGATACTTTTTTGTCGTGATATTTGATCATTTATTTTTTAACCATTATTTTTTAATGGATTTTTTTTATTTTACTTACTTCTAGGCGACAGAGGCCCACTGCTGAAGGCGTCGACGTTGTTGCCGCTGCGCCGCTTTTGCTGTTCGCATTGTTGTTGATATTATTATTATTGTGATTGCTAATGTTGCTATTGCAATTGGCAATTGTTGTTGTTGAAAGGGAGAGATCAACAGCCATTTTGTTGTTGTTGTTGCTGCTGCTGCTGGAGGAAGTGTTGTTGCTCCTCATAGATATTTGTTTAATTAATTATTAAATTATTTTTGCTTTTACTAATAATCCAATTGGTCGCTTTTTCAGTGGGCACAACTTTAATAAGTGTTTGTCTTTAGTTTTTGTGTTTATTTACTTCCCATTTCATTTATTTGTTTGGCTTAATTGATTGTTGTTGCTTTTTGTTTGAGGCACATTTGTGTTTTTGTTGTCGTTGATATTTTCGATAAATATTCTTGAAATATATTTATGTTTTTTGGTTGCACATACATTTTTTGTTGTTTTTATATTGGTGTATAATTGTTTACTACGTCGTTTTGTAAGGCTATTTTAGTTTGATTAAGTTTTGTTTATTTGTTAGGCAGCGCTTATAAATTGGTTATGAATTTGATTTCTATTTAAAATAGTTTGATAAATGTTTATATACCTTCGCTTTCGTTAGTCAATTAATAGTATATAATTCGATTTAAAGCATATATTTGTGCTGTTCGGTTAGAGATTGTAATTGAATAATTTCTTTCTAAATAGGATATTTTGTTGATAACTATTTCTCGCTTTGTTGTATACCGACCTATTAAGCTATTAATCGAATTTGTTTCGGTTATTTGGTTTTGGTTTTTTTGTCTTTTTGGCGTTGGTGCGTAAAGATTCGTTTCTCAATTTAAGATCAGTTCAGGCTGCAATGCCGCGTTTTTGAATGGGTTAAAATGAAACACGATTTGGTCAGTTCAAAAATGGATGAGGTTACGGGAAAAGTAAGATCTGGGATGCACAACAAACACAGCGATTGAGAAAGTAAGAGAAATGTGAACAGAAGAATTCCAAAAATCCAGACAATACAATTTGCAATTTTGTTGATTTTTCAGTGATACAGCTACGTACTAAAATATCAGCAAATGACAAAGGGGAAATCGATGGTTCAAGAATCTACGATTTACATTGGCTTGTATGATTACTTTTTTTTTTTGGCTCTTGGGTGCACTACGAAACAAAATATGACGACTAAAAGCTGGCATACAAAACGTGATTAATTGCGGTTAGAGGAGGGATCTGGGATCGGTCTGCTCACCTGGTATGATGTGTGGCTGGTATGCTTCTCAAAGTACCTGAATGGAGAGGGGAAACATAAGCAAGAACATTAGTTTTGTTTTGTCATGGAAGTGTAAATATAAAACACACTTTAAAGCGCGCTTTTGTGTGCTGTCCTTGCTCTAAATTGAGAGTAACCATCTTTAAAGGTGTTCTTAATGTGAGATATATTTTTAAATGATTTTTTGAAACTGGCAGATACTGTCACATTCTTTGAAGGAATTAATCAGACTTTGTAAATTTAATTATTCACTTTGATATTAGGCACATTTGTAGGTTTTGCACATATTTAAAATGGTACGCCTTAAGTTTCAAATAAGTTAAAAGTAATAGATTTATAATATGAGTTAACCAGGATTACAGGATATCCATTATTTCAAATAACAAGGTAGAATTTTTAATTATTCTTAAGGTTGCCTCTGTGAAAAACACCATTAATTAAAGTCTTTCAAGTTAATAATGGTTTAAGGATTATTAAAAACAAAACAGCAGTAATATCACACACAATTCCTTGTCGTTTAAAAAGAAAAACACCAAACTCAAATCGATTTCCCTTTCCTATTGAGTTTTCTTTTATCAATAAAAGCGCTTATCAATGCCGGCATTGATTTGTTGACAGCGATTAATGTGAGTTGCCTGGGGTTCAACGAACAATCGATGGCCGGCTAAAAACCGATGGTAAATAAACAAACTAAATAAACTCAAATTCGAGTGATAAACAATGGATATTTTACTTATTTTGCAGTTCGAAAAGCAAACGGTAAATGTGACAAGAATATTTTTTTTTCTGCCTTTTGCCAGCTGAGCGCGTGCGAGCGAGAGGCAAGAGTGTGTGGTGGAAAAGCTAGAAAACACAAATATTGCCATTACAACAAAAGCAAAGGGGAAAACTCAAAGCCACGAAGTTAGGGGAGACTAAAATATTTATGAAAAACATTAAATTAAGGGAAATCAAGGGAATTGAGGACGAAAAACGAAAAGCGGGCCGTGGCCTAGGCTGCGAGTTCGAGCGAGATGGCGATAGAGCAGAACGTAAACAAAAAAATATACAATTACGGGTGTGTGTGTGTAAGCGAGTGTGTGTGCGTGTGTGTGTGTGTTGGGGATCACTGTTATTGCCGATACTACGGTACAATATCCTTTATATTATATGCATATATATATATTACCCATCGTTCATACGCTGCGGTTTTCTAGCATGCATTACCATCAATGCAAGTTTTTCGCCAAATACGCTGCTGCTGCTTCTGTTGGTTTTGCCTCCTCTTCCTCTTCCTCTTGCTCCTCCTTCTTCGGCTGCTGCTTCTTCTTCCGCTGCTGCTGCTGCTGCCGCTGCTTCCTCTTCTCGTGCAGATAATGCAGCCTTATTCCGATTTTATCCAATTTTGTGGGGCAATTGGCGCCTCCTTTTTGCTCCTTCTGCTGCTCCTCCTCCTCCGTCCTCCACCACTTCTTCTTCTTCTTCTCACCTGCCAAGGCACGCGCGCTTGTATGTGTATGTGTGTGTTGTGGTCTGCTTGTATGGGAGGCTCTCAGTGGCATGTGTGTGTGTATGTGTGTGGTTGTGGGGTCCGTGACTCGGTGTGTGTGTGTGTTGTATGAGTGTTTGCCCAAATTGCGGTCGCCGTTTTATCGGCTTATTTCGCTGCCTCCTAAAAGTACAAACATTCAAGGCAATCCTTTAGCAGCTTCCTCTCTTCGATCTCCTTAATGCAATTAGCATGCGAAATGCCTTTAATTTTTCACGTTAGCCACACACACACGTGTGTGTGTGTGTGTGTGCGATTGTGTGTGCGTGTGAGTGGTGTCGCTTCATTCGTATTTCGTTTGACTTTTTTACTTTTTTCTTCGCTTCGCCTTTACTTCGTACCTTACCGCAATTCGTTTGCCGCTCGCCTTCTTCGGTGCGCTGTAATCGCCGCATTTAGTTGCTCCGCATCGAACGACAATTTGGTAAATTATACGCCGACTTGCTGCGTTCGCTTTTTGGCCTCTATACTTGATGATTTTTTTCAATTCTTTTGCATTACGCTTTGTGCGGTCTGTTCGTCGGCACGGCTGTGTTGAGTTTGACAGCCATCGGTCGCTGTTGTCGTCCCGCTCGCACATTTTCGGAGCGGTGTCAACGTTTGTCCCTTTCCCGCTGGCCGCTTGGCGGGCGTGCGAAGAGTCCGGCTACAGGTCTTGAGTGGTTAGTTGGTGTGGTGGACTCCAGGTGGCGCGCCATTTTGTGAGATTTTTTAGTATATTCTGGCTGTAGGCGTTGGACGACTATGACAAACGGTCTTACAGCGGGAAAGGGCTGCCAACTTGTGTAGAATATGCATTCTTATTTGAATTATTATATGAGTAAAAGTTATATTTTTATTATAGCATTTCTGTCGTATTAAAAAACGATAGCTCAAGTAGTTACAAAATTGCTATACGGCTTCTTAAATTGGGTTTTAAAACATTCAAAACATTTAAAACACCGATAGTATCGCATAATCACACTTTCGCAATCGATAGTCTATAACACTAGCGTTGTAAATACAAAAATATTAAAAATAAGTCAAACAAATTCGGAGATTTCAGGCATTTTGGTCAGCTAAAAATAAAAAAATATCTGATTAAAATTAAACAATTCAAAAATCCCAAAATAATCGAAAAATCTAAAATAATAGCTAAGGCAGCTACAAAATAGCCGGCGACGAACTCCGAAAACAGCTAGAACTGGCTACAAAACAGCTGAACTGGCACCTCTTCGAGCGGCAGGCTGCTTCCTGGAAATTCCTTCAATATTAAATTTTTGATTTTAAAGCATATTTGCAAGGAATGAGTTTGGGCGACTGCGTGAATAACTTTATATACCTGACGGGCAGCGAGGATTACGCGCTTAATCTGGCAAAGGTAAGTGCAGAGCCTTGGATTCAAGTCACCTTTCAAAGGAATAAATTGGTTTTGTGTATTTTTTTCGTTTAAAAAGCTATGCGAACGCTTTGTTTTGAAGGAAAAGCGCGTTTTCCTGATCACCAGTCGCCAGCGGGAAATGGCCAAGCGTTTTGCCCTGAATTCGCAGAGCTGCAGCAAGTACTTGGCCATTTTGCAGGTGCTGGATGTTGAGAGCACCCCCAATCGAATGTTGGAGCTGCAGGACAATGCCGAGTCCCTAAGGAGCCCCGATTTAATAGTCTTCGACTTGCAGTCCCTGGTCCTGGAGGCCCTGCTGCGCCCCGTGATGCAGCAGTGCTCCACGTCCCAAATGGTGCGCCACATCGCCAAATGCTCGGCCTCCTTTGTCAACTACCGCGAAATCCTGGCCAGCTCGGAGCTCCAAAAGGCCGCGAAGCCCATCGATACCATTGTGGTCATGTCGCAGGAGCCGTACCCCATGTCACCGGCCCAGTTCAAGCTGCTCATTGGTCTCTATTTCCACGGCAACGAGTGTCACACCAACTTTGCCCAGCTCTCGTCCAGGATTTTGGTGTCCCACGGTTTCGACTAGCCGTGGATGCATCAGTTTGCCACCACCAGCGTGCCTTAAAGAGCTCTAAACTAAGTATTCCATTTCCCAAGATCCTCAATGGGCAACGATCTTTGTTATTTACTCTATTTTGGTTGTATGCTCTCACGCATTTTAGTCAATAAGTTAGTTAACATCCCTGCCAGACGAATATTTGCCGGGCTTCAAAGATATTGAAACACTTTCGCATAAGAATTGACGAATATTTAAGTTATTTATGTAAAAACAAGCAGTGGTTGGAACTTTAGTTCCACTGAAAAGACTTTAAAGTTATCAAAACCAATTTCCAAAAAAGATACCATACGGAATTGTTGTTAGGCTAAAGAACAAGCAATTGTAACATGTTGAGAGATATTGTACCCTTATTATATAGAAATATAATACTGCGATAGTGCGAGTCTTTCGACAGAACTAACGAAAGTTACATGGCATCCATGCAAAATGTATACGAAAACCAAGAAATCGAGTGCTCGATTAAATATAGACTTTATTTTAGGTATACTATTTATTCTAAACAGGTTTACAACTACAAAAAAAAAAGCAGGTAATATTTAATTACAATACACATACACATAACAATAACATTATTATGCTAAAAGAAATCTCAATTTAAGAAAATTGTGTAAAAAAAAGAAAGCGGTATTGAGAAATGAATAAAATACATAAATGCAGGTGTAATATTATTGGAGAATGTATTCCGGAAATGTGGCAAGTGATCTCCGGAACACAAGCCGCCAAAGCCCGTTAAAAAAAAAAGGAACTAAAACTTTTTCACATATAGCCCCCGACCAGAATTCCCAAGGCTTCCGATTTTGATACCCCCAGCCGAAAAGGAGTCTCAAATATAGTCCAGCATGCCGCTTATGATCTCAAAGGCATCCCGAGCCGTGGGCTCGATGGCGCTGCTGGGCAGCAGATAGCCATGCACTCCATTGTCCGCCAGTTGGAGTGTGTAGCTGAAGGGTATTCCGATTTCGTAGGCGGCAAAGGCATCCGCACAGCCTGGAAAAATCGAGGATAAGAAAGGATTAGCTAAAAAATAACCCTGAAATTTACTTATAGACATTATGAACTTATGATAATGGGTATATTATAATAGTTTTTTTATGAAAACTTCAAGTTCCGTTCAGAAAATAATCTTCTAGGGATATACTTTCTTATAAATATAATACGCACCCGAACGCTGCTCTATCAGATCGTTGGATGCGTCGACCTTATAGCGGGATTTACTGCCCTTCTTGCGCAATCCATCAGTCCCCACCATTGCCACATCCAGAAAATCATCCAATCTTTCTGAGTTGAATGTGGAATTGGCCTTGACCGGATAGGAAATCACCTGGCCATAGGCCTGCAGGGATATATACAGCTGAAAAATAATAAATATAAAGGCTAAAATTCTAAAATACCATTATATTAACTTATATGAAAATGTTATAAAGTAGTTTCAAGTAAATATAACATCTTTGGGATACATTTTCTAGACCTACCTTAATCTGCGTTCTATAGTCCATGAGGAAGTCGGAGACAGCTTTGGTTTCCGGTTCAGAAAATGGCGCAGGACCTGCGTAGAACTCGTTGCAGGGCGCCTTGGAGCTGCCCCGCTTGCCCCAATGATACAGCCAGTTCCTGTCCAGATCCACACCGAAACAGACCTTTTCTGGACCCTTTTTCTGCTGGAGCCACGTCATCGCCGAGTCGAGAAGACCACTGGGTGGCGGAGTCTGGTGCTGCGATCGCGACTTCTTCCAGAATCGATCGTACTCGTGGCTATACGCATATCCATCCGGATTCAGAACAGGCATTACGTACCATGTGGTGTTCCGAATGAAATCCACTTCCTCGTTGGACTCTGTGGGATTGGGTTTAAAAAAATATTAGTTCATATATTAAATAACATAATAAAATAATATAAAGCATTGTTCTATATTCTAATATACTGGTAACTTTGAAAGTTTTTTAGATAAAGGTACTGGAATCGGAAAAGTTCTCTATAAACTTGACGATCCACGTAGCCCCATTCCCTCAACTCAGATTATTTTAGTTATCCCCTTGTCAGTCCGGCAGTCAATACATTTGGAGCACCGAAAGTCGAGAGTGCTGTGTAAGAACTTTAGGCATCAACAGCTCGCCACTTGTCCTCCAGTAGGATCCGGACCAGGATCAGGATCAAGTGGCGATGGAGAGGCGAAGGCCCCGAAAATCCTCGCGCCATTTCTTGCGCTCCAAATCGAATCCTTCTGTTGGCGGGGGAGGAGGTGGTCCGTCATCGGCTACCTCTAGAGTGAGTCAACACCAACAGCCAAATGGCAATGGAACCCCCACCATCACATCCCTTCTAGGCGGACGCCTAAAGAGGGTTTCCGGCATCACCAGAGCTCCGCGGGCCATGCATGTGACCGAAAATCCCGATGAAGGTGGTGTGGGATTTACACCCGTAAGAGATTCCGATCAATCGGAGGGTTCGGATGTGAATGCCGGAGAGATGGTCGTTCCACCATCGGCAAGTCCCCGGGGATCGGCAGTGCACGGACCACTGGTAGGTGTGGCGTTCGGCAGCATGGTCAGAGATTCGGATAGTCCCCGGATATCGGAGGAGGTGGAGGAGATCTTCAGGACCTCCTCCCAGCGCTCTGTATCTGTGGTGGGAACGGGCAATCTGCGCTTCGACTCCACTCCCGGTGGTCGTGATGAATCCACTATTGGCAATATCAATTTCGCACCGAATTCGTACTACGAAGAGAACAGGCATAGCAGCATGGAGTCCAATGAGTCCGATGACAATCGCAATGGCAACCGGATAGACAGTACCCCGAGCTTAGGAGCCTGCAGCCATGGCTGGACGCAGCAGCAACAGCAGCCCGCCTCAGGACATGCCGGCCGGGACACTTTGGGGTTCGCCATCCATCTGGGCACCGCCACTATGGGTCACAATCGATGCAGCTTGGGCGTTAATTGCGATGAGGACTGTGGCTATGGGACCGGGTGCGATGCTGGATGCAGTGATGCCCATGGCATCGAACCTGGTAGCTTCGCTATACCAAGACCAACAGATCCCGGCCCATCTTTGGTTATGTCACAGGGAGGTCCACCTGTGAGCAGTGCCCTGCGTGGTGCTCAAGGACCAGCAGTTGGTCCTGCTGGAGGATATGGCGCTGGAGGAGGCTATAAGCCCATCTCCCCTGGACAGCGGGGATCCATGGGGACAGATTTCGGCAGTGACCAGTTGAACTTCTTCATTACCTTCCTGCTGGAGGTCCTCGGCGTTCTAGTGTTAGTATGCCTTAAAAGATTGATCCACCCTCATCTCAACAGCTAGGCACCAAAGGCTTAGACATTTATGTCCTTCATAGCTGATGCACTGTTACAACAATGGTTTTAAGATCACACCTAACTCTGAATAACACCTTACTCCCTTTTTAACTCTTGAAAGCCTTCCACCCCCAGATTCTTTGCCATCTGCACCATTACATTCTGGATCACTCTGGGCTACCATGTCGTCCAGTTGCTGGTGGACCTGAAGAACGCCGATCGCAACGTTCAGGTGGCGGTGGCCATTGTATTCGGGCTGCTGCTCATCGCGTTCGCCATTTCGCAGGTGACCCACCGCAGTGGTGCCTGCTGTCATTCACGGGATCGAGCCCGTTCCAGGTCCAAGGGCGGTGGCATTTGCCCGTTTCACAGGTCCACCAAGTCCAAGGCGAAGGCCAAGCCCAAGAGTTGTGGCTCAAAAACCAAGAGCTGTGCTTACAAGCCAAAGAACAAAAAGGCGCCAAACGATGGAGGTGGCTGCAGGAAGGGGAGCACTTGCGGAGCCAAAATGGATTTCCACTCGCACCGAAAGACACGCTACACCGACTGCGAAGGACGGGCCATTTTCCTGAGTGCTAGGCGATATGCCATACCCACGGAGATGAAGCAGCCGCCCACCATTGTCCTCTGGCTGCGTGACGCGGTGGCCCACATGATGCGGTAACCATCAAGGACCTACTGCCCCACGTTGGGCGCCAGAAACAGAACACCATGGTAAAAATGACTACAGACTGACTGGGTGGACCATTAACTGCAAACTACACGCTACAAATTCGAGAATATGTTTCAAAATTGCAGGTTCAATAAATTTTCTAGCTGCTTGACGAGATTGGAGAAGTAATGGACTCTAGAAGTGCCATTTTGGGTCACTTTGGGAATAAAATTGGCTTCAACTCACTGTTTGTCTTCATCAGGCGCAGAAGCTCGGCTATCATCCAGGTGGCCGTCGCAGGTCCGATCCAAGCCAATCCCTGAGCTCCGGCCTCGACGAACACGGCGTTGGCCTGGCCCGTCTTCCGCTTCCGCTTGGGTCGCTTGATGGTGTGAAGACCGTCGCTATTCGCCGCCGCCGCCGATTGCTTGGACTCGATCTTCACCACAATCAAGGGGCGGCCCTCGTAGGAGCGACCGATGTGGATGAGCTCAACCAGTTGCGGGTGACGCATACGCACCGTCTCCAGATACTTGATGATCTCATCGTGGTTGTGGTAGCGATTCCAGTTCATGGGCGGCGGTACTGTTGGTCGCGGCTTTGAGGGACGAGTGGTGTGGAGATAATCCTCTTTGGTCAGCTCGTAGGCAATGGCCTTGCCCACATCGAAGATAAGCACTTCGTGGACGATGCCCTCGTAGTTCAGGGTGCCCTGGAAGTCTACGAGCATCTTGGGTGGCACAAGGACATCTGTGAGTCCTCTAAAAGGATGAGAGGGGTAAAAAGATTTCGATTAAGATGAAATCTGCTCATTAAAATGATTTTCAAGTGAAGCTTTATGTAATATTTTTGACATACGCGAATTCTTCAGCACCAACTGATTTTGCAGCAACTCACCTGAGACTGGGACCCTTGAGCCAGTGCATCTTTACCCCGTCCTCGCCTTTTTTGAACTCCTCCAATGCGCGAACCTGCTCCTCATCCTGCGGTTTTAACCGCCAAATCTGATACTTATCATAGCTGATCCGCCTGGGAGCTTCCGGTCTGGATGTTGTGGTTGTGGTGCTAGTGGTTCCCCTGGTGGTCATCCGAGTGGCCAGTGCCTGGAGCAGCGGATTACTGGTGGTTGTAGAGATGGCATTGCCAGTGGAATTGACAATATGATGGGCCAGTATGCCAATCCAGTTTTGAGGATTCCTCAGGGGATCCACAATGGTCAGGATGGGCACCTGGGCCGCCGATGGTGTGTGGGTGGTCGTTGTGGTTGAGGTGGTCGATGTGGAGGTGGTGGAACGACGCCTGACCTTTCGCTTCGGCCCCGAATCGAACCAGCTGGAAAACCATTCTGTTGGGAGAAAAGTCATATATTGGCTTGGGCTGTTTTTCTTTCGTTTTTCTCTGCGGTGCAGAAAGCGTGAAGGTAAACGAGAACCCACACCGTTAGCCAATTAATGGGGTTCTGGGTTGTCCCTTTTATCTCCCTGCTCATTCAGCCAA